GGATATCAGTCCTTGAAAATTGCGAAATTCATGCAAAGCAGTCTTTCATATTCCCGTATATGAAGGTTTTTCATAGTTGGGAGAATTATTTTACGATGTCGAGTATTTATATGTACGCGGCCGATTTTACGAGACGATTTAACAGCCTTTAATAAACTTGAATTGTCTCTGAATGAGGATTATTGTGGGGCAGCTAAGATATCAAGCGAGCAGCTTTTATAATCTTTGGAATTCTGCAAAATCTCACCGCCGAAACGCTTGAAATCGCATTTCAGAGACTCTAGATTTCAAAATTTTCCAGGGGAGCATGCCCCCAGACCCCCCTAGCATGTCTCACGCCTTCAGCGTTCGACTTATGTTTGAAAAATCCTAGATCCGCACCTGCATGCAAAGGATAGCAAATTAGTGAGCACTGGCCATTGTCAGGCCAAATATTATATTTTGTCCCACCAAACCTTGTTATGACCCAACATGTGACCGATCGATTTAATAAGCTAGCTAGGCCAATTATTTTTAACATATAAACGAAACCAAAGCAATATATACAACACTTTCCCACCATTTCTTCCGCCTTGGTAACATGGGTATTGAGAATGACCATTTAAATTATTGTAACATATTTTAAGTAGCTTTTTTTTATACATGGGGAAAAAATTAAATTAAATTATGAATTGACAATAAGCTATACTTACTGACATCCACGTTGTTATCAATGAAGTTCTGCATGTACCTCTCACCAAATGAATCTTTACCCAACTAAACAATCAGAGATATACACTCAGTAAGAACATGATCAATGTAGAATTCACCCATTAATTAACCCATTAAGCTACAATGCTATTTTACTTGGGCCAAACACCACATGATTTTACATGTCAAAAGGAAAGTATTGGGCATTAAAATGTTAACAAGAATATCAGTGCCAATGTTCCTAATGTTAAATATAACTATTAACCCATTAAATTGCATTGCACCTAATGCCAGACAATTTTACTCGTCAAGGAGGGAGCATTGGCACTTTATGGGTCAATCAGACTATCTTCCTGTGTGTCTAGTCAACCCATTAAGTTGTATTGCACCCTACTGTGCCCTACTTTATTATTTTACTCTGTCTAACACCAGACAATTTTACTTATATTTAACTGTCAAGGAGAGAGTGCTTGCACTCAATGGGTTAATGTAGGTCTTAAAAATACTTGAAAACATTGCTACGTCGCATTCAGAATTTTGCTATTGTTTTCTTTCTTTCCCATGTTGCTGTCACAATTTCAATGAAGTTTGTGTCCAATGTTGCCATAAGATTTCATTTTCTATATGCAACTATTTCAAGGCAATGTCGGCTGTCGGAATTTACCCTTAGGCTAACAGGGCCTCATCTAACAACATCATTACCTGAATATATTTTTCCATTAATATGCAGCAGAACCCAAGATCAGCTGGAGAAACTGCATCTTAATTGTATATTAACCGTCAAGCAACAGGGGTGTTCAGTGTTGTTGATGCAGTGTTTGACTCTTGTAATATGCATTATGCGGCATCTCCATGCAAAAATTGATTTTTAGTTCGGCTCTACCAAACAGTGTAGGTTCTATTTAGCTCTCTGGGTTTTCTGCTATTGGACAATTAAGAGGTTTAAAGTCAGCTAGAACCTCTACTTTAGAACTGATAGAGCTACTCAGTACGTATAAACATAATTAGCCTAATAGTTATATGGCCGGGTTAATTAAAACCAAACTGTTAGTATTATTTATGACTAGTCGATCCCAGACAATTTCTATTTTTGCAATCATTTCTGGCAATGGCCCAACATACTAAAGCTAGCCCCTGTGAAACAGATCAATTACCGACTGCATTCTTAATTAAAATCAAATCAACTTTAGAAAATGACACAATGTCATTACTACGGCAAGAATAGTGCTTCAATCCTATCATTCTAGGGCTTTCATGTACAAAAAGCCATATACTCTCAAAATATGTGTACTGTACTTGACATATTGAAGATGGCAGGTTTGCAACATAACATTGCCAGCTATCGGATTATAATTTTACCTCCTTTGTGCAAAAAGATTGATTGTTTTATGAGCAGTTGTGAGCAATTAGATATATCACTGTCAAAGCTGTCATTTTATGTGGCTGGGAGCAAGTGCATATGGCAGATAGTTATGCATGATATTATCTCAAAATTATGGAATACAGACAGAAAAGTAAACATTACTAGGGCACAGAATAAGTGGCAGATGTGTGTAATTATGCATATCTTTACAATGGCAAATTGCATATAGATATACAAAAAAGATAATAGAATTTAAAGGTCAGAGTTTTATTGCACTGTCAAAACAGCTGGCCTAGTTGAGTCAAACAATGTTGACTCTTTGGACCACCAAAAGATTGCAGTTTTGAACTATTATGCTAAGATGTTGGGGGTTACATTTGATAAATAGATGTGCCACACAGTTCTTGTATGTCTATATGTTGGCCAGTACTAAAAATTTTAACATTCGAGGCATTTTGTAAAAGTTACATGCAAAAATTCAAAAATTCCTAAAAATTATCTAAGTACTCTGGCTATTAATGGCATGAGGATGATGGGATTGTGTTACATTGGAGCAAAAAATACACGAGATAGAGCCGAATTTACATGCTATGAAAGTAAACAATACCATAGATTTATTCACAGTGTTAGCAAAGGGAGTGTTCTTTTATCAATGGCAAGGGATACTTTATGCATGCATCCTGCTGGGGTAATAATAGAATACTCAATGTTCTATAAGAATGCAAGGGAAATAATCGAATTTGATTACGTTCTGTTTAAATATAGGAAATACAGTACATTAATTATCCTGCATCTTATAGAATTACATTTGTACAGTAACAAAGTAACTTTTTGTAACGAGTACAATGATGATTACTGTCATTACTGCAACTTTTTGACCCGAATCAGGATGTTTATGTGCATTTTATATGAAACCTAACGAGGCTCGCATTTTAGTCAGTGTCAAGTCGTTTTCATTGGATGCTTTTCGATTGGAAGTAGGGGAACAAATAAAAGACAATCCTTGAAGGCCAAATACAAAAACATCAAATTATATTTTGTAATTAATGAGCTGTCTGAGAGAACACGCGAATGCGTTGCTGTCAACACAATGCCAATAGTTTACATATAAATGTGAAATAGCATTGTTATTGCAGCGACTATATGTGCATGGCAACCCTTTGATAAATGCAAAACTTGAAAGGCGAAAACAATGTTGCAAAGTTGAAACAGTATTGTAAAGATGGTTTATAATAAACTTGGGTTTAGGATGTGCTGTAACATTTGCAAGCAATTATTAAATAACAAAATAAAATCTATATAAAATTATCGTGTCACGTTTTAATATATTACCTCATATTAGCAATTTAATAGCATGCTTCGCATGTTGTAAGGCTGTTCAAAAAGCCCTTAACACGAGAGTTATAAAAATTATACTTGCCTTCGCAACCATTGCAGTGTCGCAACCTAAACGGGCAGCCATTATGCACTGATTCGCTCCTTTGCCGCCGAAACCCATAGAAAATTTGCTGCCATGTAGTGTCTCGCCGGCTTTCGGTAGACGGCTGACATAACTACAACAGAAGATCGTACAAAAATTAAAACCATATTGCGCTTCGCTTTCGCAGCAAAGCATGTGGAGAAGAAATTTAACAAAGCCCATACCTCACAAGGTCTGTCATACACGAACCAACAACGACAACATCAAATTTTATAACTTCGTTCGTCGATTCAGACATCTTCGCTCGGCCTTCGTCGGCTGGCTGGGTCGCGAGCATGATTGTCAGATTGAATGTTTACCTCGGAAATCAAGGCCGTTTTGTCTATATCGAGACTTCCGACGTTCAAACTACCGGTCCCGCGACCCTCGTCAAAGCACTGTTTCGCAAACTATTTACATCTCAAGAGCCGTTCGCATTTCATATTAAAACTTCGCCATTAGCTTTCCTCGTAACGCGTTTAATAATTTGCAGGCTTTATTTAAGTGTAATGACTTCGGAATGCAATGTGCCGCGGGAGGTCACGACATTACAAAGTGCGCGGTTCAGAACAGCAAGATACGCCACAGAACGCGACTGTTTCGGAAACGTTTGACAATAGAGTGTATAAATGTATATTCGATGGCTGATAAGGCGTCTTATCTACAAACCTCCATTTTAAAGGACGCTACGTAATAGTTAATTGGCTGTAACGCGATTTATGCGAATGTTGGAAGTGGGAGGGAGGGGGTGGTTGACCACAAAATGTATATTTTGTAGGGCAACTATAAACTATTCGAGCAAACATTTGGCCTGACCCTTCTACTTCTTATCACAATAGTACTTCCAGTTTGAGTCTATACTGTATAAATTATAGTTTTGTTATGACTTGTTATAGCCCACTGAGTTATACAATTCCTTCCAATGAAGATAGGGATTCAAATCCTTGTCCATCTTAATTTTGTGGTGTTTTTGGTACTACCTACGCTTGCATAGATCTTTCGTGTTTCATAATCATTCCAACTTTAATAGCTAGGTCTTATACAGTATAGGAAGTATATTTACTTTTGAATCGTGTTCAATATTCTCATTTTTGCTTATTTTGGTCAGCTACAGTAATTTCTGGGAGATCAATGCATACGAGTCGTATCAACCTGCTTCGTGAAGGCAAGGGGGGCAGATTTTCGTGAAAGGGCACTTTTGAATTGATATATACTAAGAGATGTTTGCAAAACATCGGAAGTTGAACTTCGCCTAATCATGTTTTCTATTTATTGGATGATAAGGGTGTGAGGGGGTTCTCCGCCAGGCGATTGGGCTATTCTTGAAGCTCGATGACTGCATTTCTTGCGTTTTCTGAAGCAAATTCGCAAAAGAATTGCACTAACATTTCCGACAATTCGCTATTTCGCCAAGGCAATCCTTTAAAGTGAGAGGGCACCTTTGCCCCTCCTGGTAAAGGGCAACGGGGGCGGCTGCCCCTCCTGCCCCCCCCCCCCAGTTCCGGCGTCCCTGTCAGAATACCCCAAGCAGTAGTTGCAAGGCGATCGCAGTTCTCTAAGACTAAAAATTAAAATGACCATCTTTGGCCGATGCTTTTCCGATATAGTATCATTTATGGAAACGTTCAAAAGATATCCGGTATAATTCGGCAATTTGTGGATAATTTATAAAATTTTACAAAAAATATTTGTTATCGTGTTTGAAATTGCTTAGCAACAAACCCAAATAGTCGCTCCATGTAAAAAGCTATAAATCAGCTATATCTGCAGGGCATATCAACATGAACTAACAGCAATAAACATTGCCGCAATTTCAATTTAGCCTAAAGGCAGAGCCAAAAGCAGAACAAAGAAAACTGTGAAAAAATGGGCAAAATTAAGCTGTTTTAATAATTTATACTGGACTCAAACATTTTAACGTCATTGAGTTTCAAAGAGTGTCTTTCAAAAAGCACTTAAAATAGTAAAAGTATACAAAAACACTTTTCTTTCAAGACTGTCTCGTATTATAAAGAACTGTCTCAGTACTTTTAAACTTCATTCAAAAACTCAGCCAGCAAGGCACTGTTTTGGACGTGAATTCGTTGGATTTAATCTGTAATTTTGTCGTTTGATTTTTTTTATGCCCGAGTCATAGACGAATAACAGGCCTTACTTGGGCTTCCAGTTATCCGACAAGGCACAAAAGTTGAACTATAGTCTATACAGTATAAGCCTAAAGGCATTTATAATTTGGTGTAAAGCAGTAAAAGTGACCTAACTCATTGTTTGAGCATGTCATCAATGGCACAATGCTGGGCTCGAATCTACATATAATACAGGCCTTAATCTATGGAAGTTATTACTATGACTATGAATGACTATGTCTATGGAATCAAGACAAGGACACGGTTCTGATCCTTACGCGTTTTTTTTTTATCATGAACTATCATTTGTATGAATTATTGATTCATACTTTTCAAAACTCGTTCATAATTCACAGCCCTCAGCTGCATGTGCTATCGTATAGATCAGAACAATGATATTGATCTATATATGTGTATGTGAAACACATCTCATGAGCCAAAGTGTTTTGACGTCACCAAGTTGCGTCACCGACTTTCGATCAGTCAGCTCCAAGAACTCGGGCAATCTCGTACCCGATGGCTCTGGGTACGAGATTGGAACTCGGGTACAAAAAGTGGAGCCAAAGATGGCGGAAATTGACGACCAGTGCCAGTGCGCTTTTGTTGTTTTTACCTGCGCGGCTTATCACGAAGCCGCAAGGAGTACATGGTATGTGTTATGCATGAGTTGGATTTAAAGATACTATGATTTCAGGAACTGATAACTTGATTCACGATACGATTTGTACGAAAAATGGATTTATTTTTAGTTTGGAAAATAGTGTGCAAACTATTTTCGACTTCACAAGCATCAGTGGACGTCAATTTCCGCCATTTTGGCAACACGTTTCTCACAGGTTCTCACTCCAGATATATATAGAGCTCGCAGCATTCCTTCGCCTTGACATTCGATCAGAGATCATCAGATCAGAAAGGTTGCGCAAATTCGAAAAATGCAATTCACTACTAAGATAATGTAAACAAGATTTATACGAACTTCCCTTTTATCTGTTCCTTTATCCTTGAGATACGAGGTAAGCTTGCCACCTGTAACAAAAATGATAATCAAAACTCGGATCAAACGAGGATGAGAGTGCATGAGAGTTGGCAGTCACGCGATCATGGTTAGCTGTTCTTATTGTCATTATTGCTTTCCCCAGGGACGCCGAAACGATCAAAAGGCAAAGGGGGCAGACGCACACCAAAGGGCACCTCTATAGATCAAAAGTTCGAAATTTACCTGAAAATGTTTTTCTTACATTAAATTTTTTTGGGGCGACCTCCCCCCCGGACCAAAATTTTCCGTGGCGTAAAAAAATTTTTCCGGACATCAGCAATTTTCTCCATTTATCCAACATTTTTTTCTAAAATCCAAAAAATTTCTAAAATTTTTGTAAATTAACCTCACTCTTTTCCAAATTCGCACTTATTTTTGTAAATTAACTTTCTCTGGGCCTATAAATTACCTGAATCTCATGATTTTGCCCGAAAAAGCATCACTGGAAATGTGATTTATCAGGTAGTATTTTACAACTAAAAGGGCACTTCTGCCCCCCTAGCAAAAGGCAAGAGTGGCAGCTGCCCCTCCTGCCCCGCCCCCCCCCTCCCCAGTTCCGGCGTCCCTGGCTTTCCCAACACTATCATGTATTCTACAGCAGGGCTGTAAATACTCGTTACAATTGTAACGCGTTACTGTGTACTCGTTACATTTGAAGTAATTTTAACCTGTAATTAATTACAAAAGCAAGGAACGTGTTCCTTTTCCAAGGAGCAAATTGAAAATTCCCTTTCTTATTTTGTTAAAAATAAGAAATAAAAAATATAACGTTACGACAAAAATTCAGAAAAATGGCTGAAATAATTTTCAACGAGATCACATGACATGATAGCCTACATGAAGTACTATTTATTGCGAAAGTGGAAACCACAATTTGTTCCAAGGCTCAGAGCGCCAAATATTGGCAAATAAAGTTATCAGGAATTTATTACATTAATTAGCAAGTAATTGGAATTGGAATTAATTCCTTTTTCTGTGGTAATTTTGCAGACCTGTTCTACAGTATGTTTTTGATTTTTGTGTTATGTACTCAGGTTAGGTGATTATGATGTTTGTGATGTTACTCAATCTGAGCGTGCATCCACGCCGGGCAAGCTGAAAAGTTTGCCTGACCACTGGTCACAAAGGTCGCGGGAGCTAGTATCTCTTGGGTCGCGGGTTCGATTCTCACCGTGGTCAGGCAAATTTTTCAGCTTGGCCGGTGTGGATGCACACTCAGAGTAACATCACAAATACTTCTAGTTGGAACACTCATCAAACCATGTTGTTAATCTACATAGAACTTGAAATGTCCCCCGTAACAGTGAGTGACTACTGCCACTACTAAATCTCATCTGAGGACCCCTGACTTAAAATACGATAGGAATTAAAGCAAGCTACAGTATATGAACAAATTAGACCGGTTGTTTTTCAATTCAAAACTGTCGCAGGTATTCGCGTACCTTTTGTGACAATCCATTCCGAATTAACGTCGTATTGATTAAGGGAATCATCGAGGGTCTAAAGAAAAATCACATTTCAGAGAATTAAACTGGAATCAGAGGAAATTTCACAAAAAAAAACATGTGATAATACAAGTATATTGGGCTGTTGGAAGTGACGTCACAATTTGTTGACTTCCGCCATTTTGGATGGCAAAATTAGAAACAGTTAACAAACAGCAAACAAGACTACAAAGCAAGACATGACACTGACTGCAACTGTTGCTTTTATTTGAGAACTTTGAAAAGTTACAATGATCAACAGCTGTGCAGCAATAGGTTGTAGTATAAAGCGCCCTGGTTGTAGTAGTGTAAAGAAAAGTAACAGTAAAACAAACAAACAAACAAACAAACAAACAAACAAACAAACAAACAAACAAACAAACAAACAAACAAACAAACAAACAAACAAACAAACAAACAAACAAACAAACAAACAAACAAACAAACAAACAAACAAATGAACAAACAAACAAAACAAACAAACAAACAAAACAAACAAACAAACAAACAAACAAAACCAAACAAACAAAACAAACAAACAAACAAACAAACAAACAAACAAACAAACAAACAAACAAACAAACAAACAAACAAACAAACAAACAAACAAACAAACAAACAAACACGTAAAAAACGACCAAGGTGACATAAAGAAAGCCGTTGAACTATCTGCAGAACATACGCAAACCCTAGAAAATTAATGTCACATATAGTACAATATTCTCACCTTCCGTGAGCACATTGAAAAGGCAGATCGCACGTTGACAGAGATGTCATAAGATTCACACATTCTTCGGTAGACAGCGAGTCTCCAAATCGAATTGCACCTGAAATTGGAAAAAGAAACATTTATATCAAAACGTAGTCTGCTTATATTCTTGGCTCATGTAGTGCTAAGCGGATCAGAGTGGGGCACAGGCGTGTGCTTCGCCAGCTACATGCGTAAAAACGCTCAGGTTGATGCAATATTGATGAAAACAGGATTGAAGTATTGAACAATGTTTTGCTGCCCACATTGTTCACAGTTGTCAACAATATCGAACAATGTTGTTACACCCGATTCAGGCTCAACAATATTGTTCAATATTGTTGACAAGTGTGAACAACGTGGGCAGCAAAACATTGTTCAGTCCTGTTGAGCAGCGGGCTCGGCGTTTTTTGCCGTGTAGTCATCACCCTAAGCTGGTACTCTTTACATTTTTGTGAGCATGAAAGTTTATTATCGAGTGGTATTTTACAGCGAAGACAAAGTTGCAGCTCGGAAAAACTCATTCGATCTCGTTGCTATGAAAACGAAAGCTTTTATTGCCAATCCGTTAAACACTTTTCGAAAGCAGTTTCAGAGGGGATATGAAGGAAATTGAAGTTAGAGAGGCTCATTGAAGTTCGAGATTAACGTTAATAGCATTACCATGACAAGCTTGTGAATTGAGTACTTTCGTTATTGCTTTCGGTAGAGCGGTTGTGGGGGCTCCTTTTGTGGAAAGCATCACCTTCATGTACAAAAAATAGAAACATAAATTTGCTTTTGAAAATTAATGGCAAATACAGTCGAAGGCAAACATAGGATTCCACAATTATCATACTTCAATTTGCTCTTTGATGAGGTCCTAAAAGAATAGATAAAAAATATTGTTCAAAATGATTTTCAACAGAACATTGTATTTTTGCCATGTTGAGTGCTATGTTCCATTGTATGCAGCATTGCGCAATGTACTATAGAAAATACCTGCACTTTTCGCTTGAAAGTTAATACTCTATAGTCACCCCTTATGAAAACACTAGACCTGAATATATAGCTAGTGTCGAAACCTTGGAAAGAGAATATACTGTAATTTGTTTAGGGATTACATTTATTAACTTAAACCCAATTGGCCCTTAAATAGGTACATCATCTACAGGTAGGTACATCATCTATTGACAAACTATATACCTCGATGCAATTCTTTATCTCGGTACGTAATTTATCTCCGTTATCCGAGAATTCGCGTGCGAGGAACACAGATGGGACAGTTTTGATACGCACTGAACTCAGTGTGTCACTGGACAATGGATCTACAAATGTGATACCAACTTGCTGTAACTGAATTCTGAATGCTTGCATGAGATGGACATCATGGTCAGACATGATTAGTTCACAAGGCGTGGTGAGAGGTGATGATTTCATCACCATTTTGTTTCCCGGTACTTGCGAGTTGGTGTACAGATCTAGATGGAAATTTGAAAAGACGATGACAGACGTTAACGCGGACAGCCGAGAAGCCCTGGGAACGAGGATGACGATGACATACACAACCTCGTACCCAGGGCATTGGGGACCTTTTGACCGCTGGAAGGCCATGGGTATGAAGTTGTGACACACAAAGCTTTATTTCTACTGTTCCTGGAAGAGATTTTCGCATATGTAATATTAAGCTTCACTTTCGACATCTACAGGGTGTAGTAAAAAAACTAGATCTTTAGAAATCAAGTTATTGTAAGATTTTATGCTACTGTGAATTTAAAATAGCTTCTAATCGTATGAAGGACCATAATTGCATAAAAAAGTTGTCAAATTACTAATTAGTCATATCATCAGTTCGAATAAAATGGTTAAACTGCCCACAGAGCACCGAGTTTTTACTGTTTCACACGGTGCGTTAAATTAATCAGCACATAATTCACATGTTGGACAAAACGAAATTAAAGTTTTAAATAACTTCGTCATGCATAAAATTCACTTCTATTCTGTTTTATGACACGTGGGTTCAGCATAGTGCTATGCATTCAAATTCCAACAATAGCTTGATTTCTAAACGTCTCGTTTCTTGTTATACACCCTGTATAGAAGCAATATCCAGACTATTATGAGATCAGTGGCATCCAGTAGTTCGTCTAGGCGGATGACCCGTCAATTTGACCGGAGAATGACTTTTTTGGATCGTTTGAGTCGTTTGAATTTACAGTGCACGATTTAGGTGCCAGTATAGATGGCACTCTTCCAACATGTTCATCTGAATGATCTTCTAAAACTAAGCTTCCCTTACTCCATGCAAAACGCACCTTTAGTGAAGGTTTCCAGACGAACTCGTTCGTGAGCGGCATGTTGATCAACAACGACGAGAAAATTATGTTCGTCGCCTAAATAAAAAAAATAAATATTATCAAAATTGGAAAATTGTTATTTTCTATACTAAATTAGATGAATTATGTCTAAACCGGACGTCTAATAAGGAACTTAAGAAACATTTACTGAATACAATCTCGAACGGTCGGTGCAATGGACCTATTACCTAATGAACAAAATTTTGATCTAGACAAAAATTTCATCACAGCTTGAAAGAGCATCACAAAATTAGTAGTACTCAGACGTTTCGTTGCGAAATGTTGTAAAATACGGGTAATATAGCCCTGCGAAGTTTGCCGTTTTTCAGTCATTACCGCTTTCTGAAAAAAGGTATCGGTTTCCCGTGCGTAATACAAAATGACTGAAAAACGGCAAACTTCGCAGGGCTATATTATACCCGCCTGATTACCCGCATTTTACAACATTTCGCAACGAAACCTCGGAATATTACTAATTTTGTGATGCTCTTTCAAGCTGTGATGAAATTTTTGTGTAGACTCGTCTAGATCAAAATTTTGTTCATTAGGTAACAGGTCCATTGTATCCAGGTGATCTCGTGTTCGTATTTTAGCCAATCAGCGCTCAGAAAGGGTTGTCCGAATAGAAATCCATTTTGATGTATTCAGTCAATTATATCTTTCGTTATTCTTTATGAAACTAGTTGAAATTTTGTAATTATGTTTGGTTATGAGAACTATAGCTCTGACAAAAATATGGAATCGAAATAAAGTATATTACAGGAGATATTCAGTTGTTTTAATCATAAAATGGATTTCTATATGACAACTAGTGCCAGTACTTTTCCGCGTATCGAGATCATCTGGATAGGTAGCGATGATAATAAGACAGCTGCAGATTGAGATAGATACAATAACTGCCTGAAAAATACAAGTAGAACTTCGACGTTTTTTCGAGCGAAGTCTCTTCGTCGGGAAGTTAAGCCAGTTTTCCACTTCAACCGTATCGTAACGTATCGTAGCATTTTCTTTTGTGTCGAAGTCATTAGTTCCACTCTAGTGGTCAGGAAACAAAGAAATACGCTACACGTCGATACGATTGAAGTGGAAAACTGGTTTTAGTGACGCAATATTGAAGAAGGGCCTTCCTTCTGAAACATTGAAGTTCTGCTTCTATTTTTCAGGAAGTTGTATCTCTCACAATCTTCACTGCATAACTCTATCAGACAGTTCTAAACTGTTCTCCCTATAAGATGTTTATTTACACCGGTATAGGACCATTTCTTGTGTTTTACGACAGAATGAAACCAGAGCTCCCGCAGAGATCGTTCAATATGGAATGAACTCGAAGAAGTTGGCTTACCTTGGTAATAGCATAAAATGAATTTGTTGTCCACCTGACTGATGACCTAAATACGAGCAAACTAGACTAAGCTAAACTAAAATCTACAGTATCTAAGCTGTTTTCCCTTAAACTGAAGTACTGAGAAACCTTACAAGCACGCAAGACAATAACGGCGGACGGCGACAGTAAAAAAAGACTCGATCGTTGAAATAAATAATTTGAAGAAAATATTCCTACTGTACATTATTCATCGTACGAATTTTATACTATTTGAGATGGTTGCGATTTTCTCCTTTTGGAGTATGTGAAGGAGTGGATGAGTTATAAATGTTCCAGGTTATGAAATTTCATAACAACATCATTAAGTAATCTACTCCTTCACATTCTCCAAAAAGGGAAAATCGCAGGAAAAATCGCCCGTGTAAACGGGCCTTATGATTGAGGGGAGGGTTGTAATGAGATGAGGTCTAAAGCTATCGTGATACCTAAATTTATTCATATCTATATAGGGACAAAAAAAAATATGTGGGTTTCCGGTTTCTTCTCATAAAAACTTAGGTAGGGTAGGTCGGTTTTAACTTTTTTTTTTAAACTTTTTTTTTAATTTTCCGAACAAGCGAACGCCATTTTGTTTAGTCAGTGCTTCGACCAACTTCGACATCCAAAGATAAATTTCCCTAATATTGCCTCAAATTTCAATTTTCCACAAACTTTTTCCTCTAAGTGGAAACACTTACAAGCATGATCCAATAAAAAAGTTTAGGGTTGGGATTTCGACGGCCAAAAGCTAGGTAGGGTCGGGAAACCGGAAACCCATATATTTTTTTTGGCCTATGCTGTGTAAGATGATGAATTTCATTCCACTAATAACCGTCGTCGTATCTAGTGTTCCTAAAGCGAGAAACTCAAGTTTCTAGAGGAAACTTACGGTGTTCGACGGAGATAAACTGTAGCCTTGAAGGCATTCATCTCACATGAAATTAAGGCTAGTAAGTAAATTATAATAGAGGGAATCAAATTCCACCCAGACTCAGTATAGCTGAGGACAAACACTACTTAAAGGTGCAGGGAACAAAGTGAAAGGTTTCTAAATTATAGAGAATCTAGTAGATATTTATGACATACCTTCATCTTGTTAAAACAGTCTTTGGTAAATTTAAATGGTTGTGTTGCACAGTGTAGTTTTAGCGACGTCTTGCTACCGTCTGTGAAACTGGCATCTGCGACAAGCTGTATAGAAAATGAAAATTGAAGCGGTTAAACAGAATGGAATCCATGGGTAGTATCGAAAAAGTAAAGGGTCAGGGTTCATGCAAGCACCGACTCGACTGTCAATCGACGCAGTGTATAGTCTGAAAACTTGGCAAACTTCAAAGCATGTATTTAAATGAGCTACACAATTTAAATTTCAAGCATTATTTAAAAATACACACTTTCATGTCGAGAAGGCTTGGCCTGCATGGAGAGATATTTTGAAATTTTGCTTATTATACTATTTCAACAGTATACGGTTGTGTTATTCGACGAGATGATTACAATCCCATATGCGCCAGGCGCAGTTAAATAGTATTTAACTCAAATACGGGATTTTGATTGCAGGGTGTTAGCCAGAAGTAAAAAAAAATCCGCGTTTACCTGAAATTGGGAAATTTATTTTAGCCTGAAACCGGGCATTTCTTTGTGGGTCTGGGGGCATGCGCGGTTGCCCCTTCTCGATTTTTTAATTTTTTGTGTCTTTGAAATGGTATTTCCCGCATCAGTTGGGAGTAATTTTGAGCAAATGTATTTATAAACATGTTTTTACCTATTTTTTGGCTGACCCAAATTGGGAAATTTCGACCTCAAGGTAATTGGGAAAACCGCGTTTAACGCGGAATTTTTGACTGGAATTTTTTTTTTTTGACCGGAATTTTTTTCATTGCTTCCAGATGGACTGACATTGCTAGGTCTAGCTAACACCCTGGATTGGTTGACTTTCCCACAAACTGTAGCTAACTTTAAACTACATTTTATACAACCGCCCCTGAGCACCAGAGTGGAACTAATGATTTCGACAGAAAATAAAATTCCACTCTACGTTACCATACGGCTGAAGTGGAAAACGACGTTAACATGCGTTTTGAGGTGCCTTGCATTTGCTTTACTGTTCAGTTACAAGAACTGGTAAACGCCTTTCTTACCGTCTCGTTTCTTTCAAATACTGGGTTCACCCACTGATCCAACATATCACCGATTTCACTGGACTGCTTGTCTTCACCCCTCGACACACTCGGACTTACACTTCGTGGCAACCATGGAGTAAAATTGTGCGACAAATGTGGTACAAATTTGCGAAAAGGAAGTAGTTTTGTCGACTCAGTCTCTTTCGTCGAGTCATTTGACTTCCCATGTAACGGTCTCAGAGGTTCAGGTTTGGAATGGGGAATGATCATAGTTGTGTTGCCTGTTCGCAGGTTGATATATACTGGTCGTCCATCATGTGGGTTATGTTGAAACAACCAATCAGAATCTTTCATGGGTTGCTTGTCGTTGGTGTTGTCGGTGACATCGGTGCTAGTGTTTGCATCGACGGTATCTGCTTTAACCATTAGACTGTGATCTGTTAACATATTCGAACTAATTACTGGAATGCAATTTCTTGTTTGAGAATCAACAATTATTGAATCCTTGATTGCTTGTTGATTTTTCGTGTTAGTGGTGCTACTTGCTTTAGCCCTTGAACCGTGCTCTGTTGTGGAACATGTTATATTGCGATTTGTTGTCTGAGAACCAAAGTTTCTTGAGTTCTTGACGAGTGGTTCATCTTTGGTGTTAGTGGTGATGCGCGCATTAACCATTCGACTGTGATCTGTCACCATAGTCGGGCTACCATCGGAAATGAAACATGGAACATTGGAATTTGTTTGTAAATCAACAAGTTCTGGATCACTTCTCCTGGAAACATGTTGACAATCAATTGCCTCTTTTCTAAAGCTATCTTCGATATAATTCCTCGTACTCTCTTTAGTCTTTATCTACAGAAAATAGTTAATACAACGCAATTGTAGCCATCAGGTATGACCATATACAGGGTGTCCACAAAAATCTCCAATAGCTACATTCTAGATCTTTACACAACTAGCTATTAGTGAGCTTCAAATCACATCAAAAATTTAATCTAAGAGATGAATTTTGACACTAGGATTATTAAAATTGGTCTGGTATAGAACCGATCGATGTTATGGTCATCAGACTTGTTGATACTTAACACAAGTGATACGTGATTCAAATGGTCCATTGGGTAAACCTTTATTTTAAAACAGCCATAACATTGCCATTGGTTCTAGTAGACCGATTTTAATAATCTTTAGTATCAAAATTCATCTCTCAGATTAAATTTTCGACGCCCACTAATAATTAGCTGCTTACAAATCTGGAACATACCTATTTTTACGTACGCAATTCTTCTGGGACATCCTGTTGATTTGAACGCAAATGAAACTCTATGGCTAGACGGAACGCGATGGTTACGCAGTCCGAGGTTAACGTAACAAAAAACGCGTTCCATTTTATTTCTGGACAATACTAAATCTTGTTCGCAGGCTTAGCTTTAAAAATTCAAAATGATATAATCATGTAATATTAAAACACTTACATTTTCAAACTCCTGAACATCCACAGGAGTTCTGGAATCATTTGGTTGTTTTGGTGCATTGAACTTTCTTTTGGACCGCACATCGCCCATTTCATTAACTTCTTCACCCTCTTGTGAAACACCCAAACATTTTCTTTTACCATCGTGGGAGTTTACAGACTCCAGTTTCATGTTAAGAGTTCCTTCAATTTTTCTTGGCAGCCATTCATTGCAACTGCTTGCAGATGAACTGAAGGTACAATTGCTTTCAGATGGACTGACATTGCTCGATCTAGGAATTCCAGTGCTGTACCTTTGCAACTTTGCAATAATTGATCTTTTGGATGACATTTCCAGCTTGTTTAGTACAGTTACACCAGAGTCACTGTGGGGACTGATGCCTTCCTTACTGGTAGTTGAAAATTCATCAGAACTGACAGAACAATCTTGACTTAAACCTAATTCTTCAGTTTTCCATTTCCCATCTATGTCCTTTTCACTTGCCACATAACTTGACTCATTTGAATTGCATGTATGTTCCAAACCAGAATCACTGTTTGAAGACATAATCCCCACATTATATGCTGCATTTCCATTACGTTTTCTTTTAGCAGTAGATGAGTAAAGACTTCGCCTTAGGTCACTGGCTTTTATAGGCCTCTTGGTAACATTGGGATATTCCACGCCGACCTCTGAGTTCAGTTTAACTGAATCAAACTCTTGAGATAAGCTTGGACATGACTCTTGGGAGTTGGACTGGATGTTGAAAAGATCTTTGTTAAAAATCCCTTCCCTTTTCAGGAAGTCGTTTAAGCATTCTTTCAAGCAAATAATTGGTTCATCCCAATTCTGAAATTCCACAAGGGTTTTCTTGGGGTCAAATGTGATATCATAAATATTGTATGGACATTCAATATTTAAAACAAATGAAGCATACTTATCGTGCTTCTTTGGACTACACAACCCTTCGTCCGGATTGGTTGACTCATAATCTACCATCGTTAGTCCAGTTATTGCTCTGGCCAAGATATGGTGTGCTACATTGTGCAATCTCGTCTTCAAAACTAGACGCTTGTTGACATAGAAAAACTGGAAATTCCTGTTTGGGAAGCCTTCAAGACTAACATAACCTGTAATGGTGTGCACGCCACAGGTTTGTGAAACTGGTTTAAAGGCCTTACTCTTGCTGCAGCCAAACACTTGTGATACTACAGACAAAGTAGAGGCGCAGGCATGCGTTTGAAGCAGGCTAGTGCCATTCTCCTTGTTGCGTACAAGAATGGACACACCCGGATTCATTAACGCTACTCCCAAAACACGTCTCCGAATTTGCTCCAAGTCCACTTTCTCTGAAATAAGTTTCTGCCTAACAGGCAGGGTATCAAATACCCCATAGGCTTTGACGGTCATGCCGTGCCTTGGTCGCAGGCCTGTGCTTTCGTACACGCCCATATCCCGACCTTTTTTAACAAGCTTACAGAAAGTGCGGCTTGATGCCTTGTGTCGTGAAACCATCTCAATCTTCTGACATATTTTACCCAAGCTGGCCAGGGCTTCCCCACGGAATCCATAAGAGGCGGCATTTTTTAAATCTTCGAGGCTGTGACATTTGCCTGTGAAATATCGTTGTCCAACATTTTTCAAATCACTTTCACGCACTCCCGTACCGTTGTCGCTAACTTCAAGGGAAATCGTAGAGATGTCCGCATCAACGGTGATGCTGCTAGATCCCGCATCGATGGAATTTAAAACCAGTTCTTCAACGCACTGGGAAAGACTTGACAAAGCGACTCCAGATCTGAGCTCCGAAATGACATCGCTTCCCAGCCGCTGAATCATAATTTTAAGCCCTTTAAAGCAGCAATTTTTTTCTTATAAGCATACCTTACATTGCTTTTCAATAAAATACGTTTCTAAAATCAACTGAGCGATTAAAAACGTCGAAAATCTTGTCAAAAACATATTTAAAGAGACGACAGCCACACGCCATATTTGTTTTGAATTTGATTTTCCCGGCAAAATTTCCCACAATTCCTCGACTTTTTTCCGGTTTTTCAATCCAATATGGCGGATGCCAAAGCAGTGAGAAATTTGTTGAAATAAAGTTTTACGAGATAATGCGTCCAAATTTGTGCTGTTAAAGGGAGTAGGGATTTTAAACGACATCAAATATTACACATTTTATGTATAAGGGGAAAAGTAAGTGAAATATGGGCAATAAAGTCCTCGCCAAAGGCATTTTATTAAGGTGCTAATAATGAACAAACCGAATATTTACAAATTGATACCAATTTTGGGTTTTATTCTTCTTTTCAGTGGCTAAAGGCAAAGGAAAGTGAGTAACAAAAGTCTGGCAATGAAGCTAATCAACTAACATGTTCTTAGACTTGTTGCCACCCAATTTACTGAGTACTGACATATATAATTCAAATGCTTGGTTATCTTTGACTTTGTCCATTCTATTCTTACAATATCAGAACAGTGGTCACTAGCAAATATGTGCATTATCCAAGAATGTTAATTAGATGGCCACATTACCTATCTACCTAATTACAGTTTTTGTGTTACTCTTATATGCAGTGTCAGACGATATATATATATACTAGAATCTAGATAACTAGAAATGCTTTAATGTGATTTAATTATGCTATATGAAACTATGTTTCTTACTGTTTTTTCAAGGAGTATGTTGGTACGTTTAGTCAGTGCTGCTGGTACTGGATATTTTTACACAATGAGAAGAAATAGGGCAAGACCCGATAAATTAGTCCTTATGAAACATGACCCAATTGGTAAGATTACTAATATTATATTTCAATTTCTACATTTCAAACACATATAAGTATAAATTTAACGCTTCATAAAACTTTTCCCTCTTTTTTATTTAGTGAACAAACACGTGTTATTTGTGGAGACTAAAGTGAAGAAAGGGGCATCGTCAAGATAGCACAAAACATTAGGAAATTGAATTTCCAAAATTGTAATGGTTAGCCTATAACATTCAAAACAACGTGAATACTCAATATAGATTTTTGTCATTTTAATTATGATGTGTAAAATAAAATAAAAGTCTTTTCATACGTACCGTGTTACTTTTTGCAGTAGCCAAATACCGCTCTCGACCCCCCCCCCCCCAAAAAAAAAAATCTAATCTGACATAGGGAATCGATCGTTGTCTTATTAGGGACTGTTTATATGGAAACCGGGCTGGTCCACTTAGCGAGACAGCCCGGTAAGCAGGATTCATTTGTCTAATTGTCTTGTGTTTATATGAGAAAATTTCATCCCGCTTGCCGGGACAATTTGTTGTTTGATAGTTGTTAAAAATAGCTTGGGGCGGCATGGAGAAATTTTCATCCCGGTAAGCGAGATCTCGCCTGTTTCTAGCGAGCTTTCGGCAACCGGACCAGCCTGTTTGTCCATATAAACGCAATGTAATTTTTACTATAAAAATAACTACACAGTGAGATCTCGCTTGCCGGGCTGTCTCGCTAAGCGGGCCAGCCCGGCTTCCATATAAACAGCCCCCTAGCGGAGTCTTGATAAATGATATCTTCATATGCTGCTAATTCACACCTGTAAGCAAAACAGGAGGAGGTATGCATAAGCAAGTAAGCGCAATAAAAAGAAAATAATTAACGTCTCTAAATGACGCACAGTAAGTTGATACAAAATTTCGTAGTTTATACTTATAGACATTTACCGAGTTTTCTGGCTTTTATTCCTCGTTCCCAGGTTCTTATCTCTTGTGGAAGAAAGATTGGCAGGAGCTGGTCACGTGATATTCTAAAATCTGGCAGATTTTTAATTAACTATATTGGATTCCTTAAAAATCAAATCAAACTTGCAAAACAAAATGATATGCAAAGTTATAAATTAAAAATCTGCTAGATTTTAACAGATCACGTGACCAGCTCCTACCAGGGTCTTTCCTCCCAAAGAGTAATAACCTGGGAACGAGGTTGATTTTCTGGCTGGCGATCAACCTCGTACCTAGGGCTTCTGCGCTTATTGCAGTTCGTCTGACGAGCAATAAGCGCAGAAGCCCTTGGCATCTGTGCCCTGGGTGCGCACTCAAGCAAATATTGTATTAGAAATTTTTAGAATAAGGATTTAGTATAGCGGGCAAATAAAAATCATCGCATGTTTTCAGAGCCGCTCCATCCAGGGTTGGTAGGTTGCTGAATAAATAAGCCAAACATTGTTATAAGCGGCCCTTTCATGTCTTTGTTTCAAACAAAGGAAACAAAGGTTATGATAATAATATTTGGCTTATTTATTCAGAAAGTTACCAACCCTGGCTCCATCTACTAATGGTTTTACATCACTATTCTGTGGTTGAAATTATTCTGTGTACATACTAATCGCCCCCAGACGGCAAAGTTTTGGCTTCGGAGGAACTCGATTTCCTGGGCAAAATCAGCGCAAAATTCCTCAAAATGTAAATAATAACTGCGAATAATTTCAGAAGAACCTGCCCGAAATGCCTCTGTTAACCAAGACCCCTAAGCAGATTTCTCATCTTTCTATTTAACAAAAACGCCTTCTGATCACCGGATCCCCTGGTCAGCCATAAATTTTTGCGCATAACATTTGTGCGCATTTTTCCCAAGGAAAAATATTTCCTGCGCGAAATAAAACTTTTCAGTCCAGTTAATAGGCATAATAGCCGAACTACGTCGCAAATAATAAGCATGTAAGGCCGCGTTTACACTACTACGCTACGGCAAATTTACCGTAGCGTAGTGATTTGCATCCGGAGTGCCAAACGTAGTGGTCCGTAGTTAATACGCTACGGCAAACCACTCCGTAAAGCCTGGTTCACACATATGCCTGCGACGTACCGGCGACGATACCGGTGGTAGCTTAAAACGTGAATTATATGAATATTTGTTCACCGATTGCCTCCAGTGCCACAGTTACATCGGCGGTAGGCCAGGAAAGTTGACTTGAGTTCAACTTTGCCGGTATTTCGGCGGCAAGTAGAGGCATAATGATACAGTCGCAGGCATACCGCAGGCATATGTAAACCAGGCTTTATAGTGTAAACACAATACTAAGAACCGTAGTGAATTTTTAACGAAATTGATTTCCGTAGTTAGTACGCTACGGCAAACCACTCCGTTATAGTGTAAACACAATATAGTCTCAATACCAGAAACGTAGTAAATTTTTAACGGAGAGCCGTAGCGTCATGGTGTAAACGCGGCCTAAGTGTATCATTTGTTTTTCTCACATGACCAACGAAAATAACTTGAATATGAACTCTGTGAGTGGATCAATAATAGTGTAGATATTGAAATATAATCATAGACAACACAGAAAAACAACACATTACACAAAAGCAATATCTGGTGCTTCTTCTATTCCCTACAATGCTACTAACGGTCACTAATGATTTGAATATAAATGTTAAGTCAATCAAAACGGCGGTCAAGTTTACAAAGCAGAAAGTAAAGACTGTATTTTACAGCAAATGGCTCCGGTCTTGAAATACTCGTCCTCGGCAATCGTTGCATTCACATTACATTCACATCTGCATGTGCGGGAGTCCCGAAGATGCCACGAGGTGCACGATGGGTAACAAGAGCAGCTTGTGGCCAAATGTTCTGGATCCGGACAAACGTGCTCAGGGCCAGGAGTCTGGGAGAAAGTACATTCCAGCTTTTGTAAGAGACCTAGTAAAATATACCAAACTAAATGTATCACTGATCTCACAGTTAGGACTGAATAGAGAACTTGCTACAATGGTATGCTGACATGTTAAAAGAGGTTCTTCAAGTTTCTGATGATTAGTTGGAATAAAAATTGGCTAGAGAGAAATGGGTTATTAGTGGCATCTCTGAAATTTGCCAGTGCATGAATAACTAATGAGGTACACCAATATGGCCGACTCAAGTCTCATTCTCTTGTGTTTAAAACGATCTAAAACTCACTTGAAGACGTGTGGGAAGCTACATCTTTTAAGTTACGTGAAAGATATTTTCTTGATAGTATAACTATAAATTTAAACCCGTTAACTATTCGATTCGTAGGGAATGTGACAGATTTAAAAATCTCTCCTTATTATAAATATTCTGGCTTCAAAATTCTTAGCTTAGTACTAGTTCTGATATTTTTACTGGGTTTAATTTACCTGACTCTCCTTTGGCTCCTGGTGGACCAGGTCTGCCAGGTGTCCCCTTTTCACCCGGAATACCCATCTCACCAAGATCCCCTGGTGGTCCCTTCTCTCCCTTTGCTCCAAGCTCTCCTGGTAATCCGTCAAGTCCAGGCAGTCCAGCCGGTCCCGGTGGTCCTCCTGGTTCCCCTAAAACAGAAAAAAATGGTTCTCATTTCAGAGCCAGGCTTCCATTTGGTCCCATTGAACTATAAATAAACTGGAAGGCTAACTCAGGGGGTATTGAAGCCACTGCATTTTAGTTTTTCTGAGTTATGAGCAGAAATACTCAACACTGAACGTTGGGCTATATATCAAATTGAAGCTATTGCAAAACGCTATTTGGTGTAGACATTTCAAGACTTTAGCTAAAAGGGAAATATTGAAAAACTACAAACGTAATTACCGATAATTTGCCGTTTTGCAGTTGTTTTTGTATTTTTAAAATATTTTTCTTTTCGCTGAAGTCTTGAAATTTCCACACCGAATAGCAATTTTCAATAGCTTCAATTTGATATTTTGCCCGATGTTTGGGGTCAAGTATTTCTGCTCATAACTCAGAAAAACTATTTTGGCTTCATCAAATCATAGGCCTTCATCATAGCAGTTAGCCTTCCAGTCTATTTATAGTTCAATGTTTGGTCCTGAATCCTACAGTTGAAACCATGGCAAGTTTAGCGATGCAATACAAGGCCAGTTAATTAATACTACGCACAATTTTTTGGCACGGCAATCCCAGTGCTGGTAAACTTGGTATAACTACAATTCTTATCCGTGCCAAAAATTAAGTGTAGTGCGGATGGGCCTATAGGGTGTGGTCATGCGAAACTGATTTGAATACAACGCACAAGAAGTTCAGTAAGATTCACCCTTTTATACTGGTCTATTGTTGCTACTGCAGAAAACCTACACTGAAGTAACTTTAGTGATGCCTGGTCAACTCTATCAGAATTGAACTTTTTTCATAGTAGTGTCAATAAGTGTCACCCTTTATTGGTCTCGTGTTCCTGCAGGAAAAAATCTGAACTAAAACAACTTTTATACTGGATAGCTCTATACATTTTTCAATTACACGGCCTGGCACCGGATACTGATTTTTTCAAACTTTGTTAAATTGGCCGTTGACTGGTATAACTCAGATTAAACTTTAATACTCAAAAATTAAAGTTTCGTTTTATTAATTGTGGGATCCATATTCGTAGTTGTATCACTTTTAAAGCATTTTTACAACGTTTGAAAAGTCACTATCAGGTGGATGGCGCTATCCGACCTTCGTACAGCCGACCTAGTGTTACTACAGGAGGAAACTGGGTGAATACTCACCTGATTCACCTTTCTCCCCAGGAGCACCTGGTGCCCCCGGATATCCTCTGACACCCATCGTACCAGGTATACCACGCTCCCCTTTTATCCCTGGAAATCCCCGAGGTCCTGTGCTACCCCGTGGACCGGGCGGATTTCTAGGGGCTGGGGGTGCTAAAATGTAATAAAAATGAACATTGTTACTTGTGGAAGAAAAATGAAAGTTCGAAAAATATATCTTGATTACAATTTAAGATATTCCGCAGATTTGACAATACTTCAATTTACTAAAAATGTTTCAAAAATATTTTAATGAGGGCACAAAGAAAAATCATAAGAGTGTCATATCATAATAGAGATTTCTCTTGATTTACATAAACATAGTGTTTACATAGTGTTTGTTTGTTTGCATGTTTTCTCTTTTATTAAGACTATAAGTTGGTTGCTTTCTTGATGTACGAACTGCCAAAATTCATGCCTGCAGTTTTAGCTGAGCATGATCTACTTTCGGTTGTTCGTACATGGAGAAAGTGTCAAATACTGTCATGTTTATAATGTCACTTTAGACACTTGTGAGTTGTGTGTCAACGCGTATTTCGACTTGTTATACTGTACTGTAAATATAATTTAGACATAGTTAGAAAATTGCCTAATTAGTAAATTGGGGCTTTCTCGAGGTATGAACAACTGAATTGTAGTACTGGTTAATACTTTACAATGTACCCATGATTTCATTTGTTCATACTCCTATAGGAAGTACTGAATATAGTCATGTTTAATGTTATTGTTGTTGTGTATATAGAGTTTAGGAGGACCAGATTGGAAAAAAGTTGTAACTTTATCTGTTTATCCTCAATAAATAAAGTGCTATTATTATTATTATTATTATTATTATAAACTTTAACCGCTTTGATTTTCTCGACTTACACAATGTATTTTTCGAAAATTAGTTCGATAAATAACCACTGGACACAATGCATGAAACAGTATTGATCAAGGTTGGAAATAATCTGGTAATGGCCAATCCCATATTAATCAAAATTTTGAACTCAACAAGTCTAGACAAAATTTTTATCACAGCTTGAAAGAGCATCACAAAATTAGCAATATTCCAAAGTTTCGTTGCGAAATCTTGTAAAATTTTCAGTCATTGTGTATTACAAAATGACTGAAAATTACAAACTTCGCAAGGCTATATTATCCACACTTTACAACATTTCGCAACGAAACTTTTGAATATTACTAATTTTGTGATGCTATTAGGAGCCCTCTCTAAAAGTAAAAATTTAATTGGCTAACGTTTCGTTGTTTACAATACAACATCTTCAGAGCAATTGAAGATGAAGATTTTAGATTGCTCTGAAGATGTTGTATTATAAACAACGAAACGTTAGCTAATTAAATTTTTACTTATAATTCTTATTTTTATCTGGGCTCTGCTCTTTATCTTTAATTAAACTAAGATTTCCGCCTGGTGTATCAATTGCCACAGTTTTAAAGAAACGATACAAACAGTTTATTTAATAGGTTTTTATTTCATTTTATGTTCTTGCAAAGCTTGATTGTTGTGTCTTCATAATTTATTATACTCTAGAATCATGAAAATATAAATAGTTGTCGAATAAAATTCAATATTTAGGATACCGAAATGTAAACAAAGCCTGTACCGCATCTTTAAAGTTTCAGATTCAGATTCAGATTCAGATATTTAACAGCACACTCCCTATATCAGGGCTTTTCAGTGACTGGTTACATTATGTTGTGGATTTCCTCCGCCAAAACGAACCATATCGCCAAAATATTTGGTAAAGTCCATTGCCTAGACGCGTTTATTTTTAAGTAATGTAAAGCTTAATTCGACTCGCGTTATCGATGTAAATCAGATACACGCAGGCTAATGCATTAGGAGTCCAATGTCTGTAATAATGACCATACAGGTATGTTATGTAATACTTCACATAACCAATTACTGCAATTAATAGATAAACATACATTCAAATACTAAACACAATTGTAAAACAACTAAAAGCCCCTTACCTCTACGGTTAAATATTCGACGCACAAAACGAAAATGTCCTGACGCAAGCGGCAAGACGATTGCGCAGAATAAAACTACGACACAGAGATGGAACAGTTTAACAGACGACATCGCCGTATCACTATCTGATCGATAACAAAATAGTCAGAAAATATATACAGTTTTCGTCTGCGTGTAATTGACAAGTACGCAATTGGGCCAATATTTCGCGTTCTGGCAAATTTGTCTGACTGAAGTCTTTAAACCTCGCCCGTTCAATGACGCAGTTTAATTTCTCGAAGATGCCAGTTGGTAAAACAATACACTAATCTCGCATAAATTGCGGTTTCCGTTTTGGCCGGCCGCTCACTAAAGATGTGATTACAATGAAACTTAAAACCATCAAGTGTTTAATGCTGTTTACCAATCGATCACCACAACTGAATTGGCTTGCGTATTTTTTTTACAAATCATCTAATCACTGAACGAATTCCGTTTCATTTGCGGTTTTATGACAATATACTATTAATATGCTGCACGTAATGAGGTCAACACCATGGCTACGCCGTTGATCACCATTACCTCATGTAACGGCTTATTTTTCATAAAATTCCTTTGTTTCGTGTGAAAATATTTCCCCAAAACACAAAATCTCAAAAATTAGTTTATTATGTTTATTATATCAATATTTTCTCAAAGGTGGGGGTCTAGTGTCGCTAGTGGTATTCTGCAATAAGTTGCCGTCCTCTGTGTCTGATTATCCACTGTCCTAGGAACCCTGGGCTGGGGGAGGGGGCTTGAACCCGCCTAAAATAAATAAGGTGTGAATGGACTTCCATATTGTATATAAGTCGTATGTTATATATGCATATAGATATAGAAATTATAGAAAATATGGTAATTGATATGGTCCTTTTTCTTTTTTAACACTGTGAGATCTTAATGCATCTACAGGTAGTAGCCGCCAGTAGGTAGTTCAACCCTTGGGTTCAATCATGCTTCATTTGCTAGCTATCATAGCTCACTGAGTACCTCAGCATGTCATTCAAACTAACAACAAATCAATTTTTGAAATAAATCAATGAAACTAATGAACTTTTTTGTAACATTTCTGCTGTATCAGTTCTTCAATTTTGCGCCAAAAAGTCCAGGAAATAGCATTTCCGAGCCACGGTTTTTAAAATTTTCCCGGGGAGCATGCCACCGGACCTCTTAGTTTTAATGGCGCACTTGTCAAATTTCAGCCCCTTTTAAAATATCTTCCTACAGCTACCGCACTGTGATTACTTGAACATCAGACACAAACAATTGCTGTCCATATTTGCCATATATGTTTGGTGCTGGATATTAAACAGATATAAGCACAATTAAACATTTCACAGTTTTACTTTCCTTGGTCGATGAGCGCCTTTATATGGATCAAAAATCTCATCAAAGTCATAATCTTTATCCTCAAGTGTTCTTTGTTTCTCCGCTTCACGTGCAGCTTGTGGGCTCGGAGAGGCAACAATCACCGGTCGCATACTATTCTCCGGTCGAAACTCGACCACGTGAAGACCTTTACGTTCTGCGAGTTGATCATGTGTCTCCTATAGTAAAGGAATGGTTTTTTGTGTAAGAAACAGTTCATTGCATCACATTCATTTAAGGCCAGGATACACGAGGCAATTGACCCTAGAAGTCGCTTTCAGACAATGAATATTTGACCCACGTGTATCCCACATTCATTGCGTGTACCTAATGTTTTGATGGATTGAAAATTGCGTGACCGCGCAAACACTTCTAAGGGTTATTTTTGCTGCAACATTCAATGCAAATTCTGATAAAGAGACGCGAGCATGCTTTCCTTACATAACATACTCTTAAAGATGAAAACGGATGAAACATGATGAAAAATGGTCCGCAGAGTGAACCATGCCTAACTTTAGTGTGCAGTAATAACCAATTTGTGCAGTAATAAAGTGAAAGACAGCAGTGATAAAATAGCCTGGGAACGAGATTATTTGTGATACACAGTAAAAATGTGCGGGGATAACATTTGTGTGGAGGAACTCTTAATTAATTACAGCCCACTAAAACTTTTGAAATTCACATCACTTAATTACCCAAATGTTCAATCGAGCTTAAAGGGTCCTAAATTGAGTATAAAGTCCCTCCTCAAATTTTACATGGGATAAACAATTCCCACTATAGACTAACTATTTGGCAAAAAAAAGTATATTCCTGGAAAGAGCATACTGAAATGAGTAAAATTGCAAAGTCTGGGCGCAATGTTGTAAAATGCGGAAAATATAGTCTTGCAAAGTTCGCAAATTTTGTATACTTTTGTATTGCGTGTGGAAATTGCTCCACATTTGGGCCGAAAATGGTGGTAAATTCCGCAAGCAATACAAAAGTATATACAAAATTACATTTGCAAAAGCTATTTTACAACGCTGTTTTACAACATTTCGCAACCAAACTTTGCAATTTTACTCATTTTAGTATGCTCTTTCTAGATGTGGTGATTTATTTAATTTGCATCTGCTTGCCTACTTTAAAATTAGTCTATAATGGGAATTGTCTCTTCACCCACGGCTAGCTTATTTCATATTCAGTTCCACATTATGGCCATATTCAGAATTCACGAATAAAATTTCCGTTGCGTAAAGGTCAATGTTTGAGCAGCAGAACATATAAATGTACTGTAGTTTAGCAGGCTGCTCCATTTCCTGTTCGGAGTACTCCGGATTTTCGGAACAATAATAAAGGTACTGTACAGCCAGAACAATCATGTGACCGTGTTCGGTTCGAATCTATTATTTTACTTGACCCCATGCGATTATTACCATGCGATACCACACACGTAAAAACGCACAAGTTGCAACAAACCTACAGCAGACTTGTAGCAATGCTGTTCCAACAACTTATCAACAGGATGTGTTCGCACTGCTTGTTCCCAGCTTGTTGACAAGTTGCCAACGGCTTGTTGACAACTTGCTACAAGGTTGTTGAACTCAACAGACTTGTTACAAGTTATTTTCTGTGTTGGTGTAATGTACTCAAGTGAATAAGATGCTTGTGACGTTACTCTGAGTGTATATCCACACCGGGCAGGTTTGAAAAATATGCCTGGCCACGGTGGGAATCGAACCTACGACCTTTGGATACTAGTCCAATGCTCTACCAACTGAGCTACGCGGTCAGGTCGGTTCGAGTACGTGATATTTCGAAACTGAGTCTAGTTCCTTCGATATATGCGTAATCTAATAATCATGATATTTGCTGTGTTGGTGTAATATCACTTACTCGAACCGACCTGACCGCGTAGCTCAGTTGGCAGAGCATTGGCCTAGTATCCAAAGGTCGTAGGTTCGATTCCCATCGTGGCCAGGCATATTTTTCAAGCCTTCCCGGTGTGGATATACACTCAGAGTAACGTCACAAGCATCTTGTTACAAGTTGTTCCAACAACTTGTTATCATCCTGCAATTCGACAATTTGTCAACAAGTTGTGAGTGACAACCTTGTAGCAACTTGATAAAATAACAACATTGTTACAACTTGTTGACAAGCTTGCTACAAGCCTGTTGCGAACACATCTTGTTGACAAGTTGTGAGATTTTTACGTGTGTGATCCAGTCTTCATAGTCGGATTTGAAAGATTATACGTACCTGACTCAAAAGGCCTTGGAATACAGCTCGCACAACGCTGATTGGTGTCGTTGAACCAGTGATCTTGCATCTCATGTCTTCAATCCCTAGTACATCGGCAACTGCACGGATAATTCTGTGACATCGTAAGCCATAGCCTCAAATAGAAATACAAGACTCCTCAAATATTGAAAAGAATAAACTTTATTTTCTCATTTTCAGCCATCGGAATTAAGCAAAACTTCCAAAAGCCGAAAATTGCCCCGTATGTATAGTTGTATGTGTGTATGTATGTATGTAAAAAATTATTTAAGGACACTACACATGTCCCATGCACAAGTATTAATATGAATTACTAATTTAGATATTCATTTTAAAGGAATAAATAGATTGCGCGACTTTCGCGTCAAGAGAAAGGCTGTTCCAAAGTTTTGTCCCATTGTATTTAAAGCTTTTTTTCCAGCAGTTCCCTTCTCGGTTTTGGAAGATTTATATCAGTATTACTGCTTCAAAGATTATAATTAACCTGCACTTAGCTACTCCTAATCAGTGACTCTTTCAAATACACCGTTTTGACAATTACGTCAAACATACTTTTTGGCTTTGGAGCCTCGCTCTCATTAGTAAATTACCCAAAGTGATCGGCTCACGGTTCATGAGAGCGAGGCTCCCAGGCCAAATGACGAAATTATCGAAAGGGTGTATTAGGAGCAGTGTAATCAAGTAATGATCGAATCCGGTGGCAATTCGGCTTTTTGCCCCTTTAATTTATACCCCCTACGTAGGTACCCCAGTGTCCATTGTCTGATGGCAAGTGAATTTTATTCACGGCAACTAATTTTCATGTCCAACTTGTCCTAGCAAGTGGTCAAAAAATAAAGTTATACACCACTGAACTTGTTAACAAGCTTGCTACAAACCTACTCCAAACACATCTCGTTGACAAGTTCTTCGAACAACAATGTTACAATTTGTTAACCAAGCTTGCTACATGTAAACCTGTTGCGAACAAATCTTGTTGACAAGTTGTTGGAAGAGCATTGTCACAACTTGTTAACAAGCTTGTTACATGCCTGTTATAGAGACATCTTGTTGACAAGTTGTTGGAACAGCATTGTCACGACTCATTAACAAGCTTGCTACAAGCCTGTTGAGGAGACATCTTGTTGACAAGTTGTTGGAACAGTATTATCACAACTTGTTAACAAGCTTGCTACAAGCCTGTTGAGGAGACATCTTGTTGACAAGTTGTTGGAACAGTATTGTCAGCACTTGTTAACAAGCTTGCTACAAAGCCTGTTGAGGAGACATCTTGTTGAGAAGTTGTTGGAACAGCATTGTCACAACTTGTTAACAAGCTTGCTACAAGCCTGTTTTAGAGACATCTTGTTGACAAGTTGCTGAAACAGCATTACCACAATTTGTTAACAAGCTCGCTACAAATTAAACCTATTGCAAACACATCTTGTTGACAAGTTGTTGAAACAGCATTATCACAACTTGTTAACAAGCTTCCTACAAATCTACACACGTAAAAACGCACAAGTTGTTACAAGTCTGCAAACAAGTTGTTACAAATCTATTTACAAGCTGTCAACAAGTTGTGTCCGCTCTGCTTGTTGCCAGTTGTTGTAACGAGTTTGGAACAAGCTGTTAACAACTTATAACAAGCTTGGTGGCATTATCGGACTTGTCACAAGGTTGTTCTGACAAGTCTGATACAGTCATGATAAACAAGATTGTTACAAGGTTGACGACACAAGGTTGTAACAATACTGCTACATCATGACCAGGGCGCTGTGTTTTACAGCGCCCTGATCATGACTGTATCGTATACTTGTTGGAACAACCTTGTAACAAGCCTGATAATATCAAGAAGGTTGTAACAAATTGTTAACAGCTTGTTCCAAACTTGTTGACAACTTGGGACAAGCAGTGCGAAGACAACTTGTTGACTGGTTGTTGGCAGACTTGCTACAAGATGTGAGAGTTTTACACGTGTATTGCAAACACATCTTGTTGACAAGTTGTTGGAACAGCATTATCACAACTTGTTAACAAGCTTGCTACAAACCTGTTGCGAAAAATCTTGTTGACAAGTTGTTGGAACAGCATTGTCACAACTTGTTAACAAGCTTGCTACAAGCCTGTTGAGGAGACATCTTGTTGATAAGTTATTGGAACAGCATTGTCACAACTTGTTAACAAGCTTGCTACAAACCTGTTGAGGAGACATCTTCTTGACAGGTTGCTGGAACAGCATTGTCACATGTCATGCTCTGTTGACCGCGTGTAAGACGGGCTCTGGGTACGAGAATGTGGCATAGCCTAGCTCCATTTGAAGATTGGCTACCTCCACAAAAATAAAATGTACAGGTATGCCCCTGGGCGGACGATTAGACCTCCAGTCGCTTAAGGCTGGCTACGCCCCTGTGCACAACTAGAAATGAATATATAAAGAAACAAATAATAATTGTCCGATACCCAACCTGGAGGTTTTCTCTCAAATCGTATCGTTGTCTTGCGATGTGTGCTGACAAAATCATGATAAACTACAAACAAAGAAAGTCGGAATAAACTCGAGCAATGAAGTGTGTGATACATTTAGGAATTTGGGCATTTTTGCTCCATTTAACAAAACTAAGTTTTTGTTGATGGAAATTTTCAGTGGTGTTTTTTTATTGATGGAAATGTTGAATGAAGATCTGAAAAATCGTATTCTAGACTTGACCGGGAGTAGCTGCGAAAAATACAACAGCCCTCCGGTATAGGAATCGAACCATGTGGCCCTGCGATGCCGGTGCAGTGCTCTGACCAATGAGTTGCAGAGTACAGTTGCCAAGAGCTTATCACAAGTTCAGGTACAGGGTTTTCATAATCTTTTTAGATAAGCGGCTGTGGTGAGAAAGTAGGCGGCTGTCCTCAATGCATGCATATAGCAAGTCTACATGGAAATAATTTATGACAGTATTAGAATTATTGTCATCTTTTTTGCAGTCTTTTCTTGGTCGGGTAAGCAGAGCAGGCTACGTTTAGTTGTAGTTATACAAGTACTTTAAATTCTTGTCAAAGGGATATCTACTATTAAGAAGGCATCAATAGGATACGCGCAGATTAGAATGCGCAGAGAAATTTCCAATTTATTCTTGGTTTTTACACAATAGTTAATCTTACAAATCTAACTTCATTAGGATACAGCTGAGGTATATGCCCAAAAAACTACAGCATACTGCAGTTTTGATGTAGCCAAATACTGCAAAACCGTGGCTACCGAGGTATGCGGAAATACGGCGCACAGTTATAGCCACAAACCGTAGCTTTTAGCCATTCCGAAGTTGATGAGAGGACTGGGGACGAGTGCTAAAAAGTGCCCAAATTAAGAAATGAACCCAATAACCAAAAAGACCACCTCAAAATTAGTAAGTATACAAAGTTTGAAAACGTTTACATGAATACCCTTCGAATAATAAGCTTTCGAAAAACGAAAATTGTAATGATTGTTTTGGGGACGCGCGTCCCAAAAACAATCTTTTAATCAGTAATTTCACAATTTTCGAAAGCTTATTATTCGAAGGGTATTCATGTAAACGTTTTCAAACTTTGTATACTTACTAATTTTGAGGTGGTCTTTTTAGTTATTGGGTTCATTTCTTAATTTAGGCACTTTTTAACACTCGTCCCCAGTCCACTCATCAACTTCGGAATGCCTAATAAGGTATGCAATCTCGTTCCCCGAGCCTGCGATCCTCGGGAAGGAATCGAAGGCTCTGGGATAATCCGTTACCGGAAGCCAAGAATTCTGGCTAAGATTGAACTACGCATTCCATTTCAATGGCCAATCAGATTCCTCCCTGAAACGGATTATCCCAGAGCCTCGCGTTCCTTCCCGAGGATCGCAGGCTCGGGGAACGAGATTGATAAGGTATGCCGAAAACAGACGTACTTTATAGCCACAAACTGTGGCTAAAGTATGCATAAAACGGGCGTACTTTATAGCCACAAACCGCAAAAAAGCGAGATGGATGCGCAGTATAGTTTAAAGAATGTAGCCGGCAGTGAACCTCACAACACCAGCCGAAGCTCCGGCTGCTTTGTTACGGAAAGACTGTTGGGCATCTCGCTACATAGATTTAAACGCTTCATCCTTAGATAAAACGGACGGTCATTCGCGACTACAAGAAAGAGGGCGAAGAAAATTTGCTACCCGGGAGGGTGATACTCCTAGGAAATTTATCTCCCCTCAGCGAGACAACATTGAGGGGGAGGGGAAAATTCCTGGGAAACTGGGTTTCTGGGTCGAATTGCTTTGCTGAAATAATCGTGGTGTTTTCCACATAAACACTACAAAAAAATCCTGCTCGGTTTTCTGCCAAATATACGATTAATATATCACAACTTACTTGTGCGGTCCTCACAACGATCAATATAATACAAATACTTCGCTGCCTTGTTCTTCGCCTAGATGAACAACAAAATAATAAAAGTGAAAAAAGGAATCGAGGGAGACAGGGACTTTATCAAAGTCTCTGGCCCTAAATAGTTTGTTTTTTCAACTATACTACAGAAGCATCCTATAAATTTGTTGCACAGTCAAATCTCTATTAACGGACACCTCTCTTAAGCCTCGTTCACACTGGCAATTTCGTCGGCGATTTTTCTCCTCCTGGCGGATGTGACTGAATGAGTGACATGCAAAAGTCTTAGAAATGTATGCGGTCCAAAACGCGATTCCATACTTTTGGCTGCGAGTTCACTCGTTCGCATTTGTCAGGAGGAGAAAATCGCCGACAAAATTGCTAGTGTGCACCAGGCTTAAAGGCACAGTTCAGTTTTTTGATTGATTGTTTTTAAGGTGCATTTCAGCCCTTTTAATTGAAAAAAACTAACTAGGAAAATCAATTATGCATAATTCAAGATCAGTAAACTTTTAACAATAAAAATGTTTGAAAATCCGGTCCCAATGATTTCTTTAATAAAATATTATTACCATTAAGTGGACACCAGTATCCCTATGCAATATATATATATACACGCTAATAACTTGATCCCCTAAAACAATCTTTGAGTTCTTTAATTTGTCTTCCAAGCAATAGACAATTCCTATTATAGACTAATTTTTTATCTTGGCGAAAAAGTATATTCCCGGAAAGAGCATACTAAAATGAGTAAAATGGCAAAGTTTGGTTGCGAAATGTTGTAAAATGCGGAAAATATAGCCTTGCAAACTTCGCAAATTTTGTATACTTTTGTATCGCGTGCGGAAATTGCTACCACATTTGGACCGAAAATGGTAGAAATTTCCGCACGCAATACAAAAGTATACAAAATTTGCGAACTTTGCAAGGCTATATCTTCCGCATTTTACAGCATTTCCCAACCAAACTTTGCAATTTTACTAATTTGAGTATGCTCTTTCTAGATGTGGTGATTTATTTGCATCTCCTTGCCTAGTTTAAAAACTAGTGTTTGATGGGAATTGTCTATTCAAGAAAAACTGTCTCTTCGAAACTTGAACTCACAGCGACGTTCCAGACCATAATCAGTCTCTCCGTTGACACGTTTACCTTTGATAACTACTGTTCCTAAATCTGTTGGACGTTACCTCCTGCTGTGTTCGCTGTTGCAAATCATAGATATCTTAATACACTAGATAGCGCATCTCTTTTAGTAAAATTGAAGCCAAGAATATTCCAGCGGTTACCCCCATTTGAATAGATGGCGGCAATGTTGGTGTTTCCCACTCGCTAATAAACGCTTAAAAATAACAATAACTTTCATCATTTGAATAGTTTTAAAATGTATTTGGAACAGGTTTACCTTAATATTTAAGTTCCCTGTTTAAGAAATAGAAAACATACGAATCTTCTCATTTGATGGGAATATCCTTTTTGAATTGTAGAATAATTAGATGCACTATATCTAGTGTATATAAGATATCTATGTTGCAAATCCTTAATCTCCCGGACACCCCTTTTAAGCGGACACATTTGCGAGGTCCCGATGGTGTCCGCTTAATGGAGTTCGACTGTATATTTTTGAAACGAACCTTTTTCAAAGCACTGATCCCACTCTGTCCCTTGCCGACCGCAAATCCTGCTGCTCCATTTCTGTTTCCAACCACGATAATAGCTCGTTGTGATCTTTTTCTTCCCCCAGGAGTCATGTTGCTCACACGACGCAGCTAAATTATGTTCAGATATAAGTATGGTGTATTGCATGAACGAATGAACTATTTGTGTAGGTAATAGGTAATAGCATGCATGGTTTCGAGTGCAATTTGAAAAAGAAACATGCACGAGTGAGTCTTTCACAGACTATCAAAATTGCACGAGTCCATTTTTGAGCCGAAGGTGGTAATTTTTTACCGCGCGTATAATACTAAAATACTCAAAATTTGCAGTAATTTCACAGGGCTATATTTTCCGTATTTTACAACATTTCGCAACCAAACTTTACAATTTTACTAATTTTAGGATGCTCTTTTGAGCTATAATGATATATGAATGCTGTTTTTAATGGTTTGTAATCCAAGTGACTATATATATACACTTTAATACCTAACCAGGAGCGACTGCGAAAAATGCAGCAGAAAGTCCTCTGGTAGGAATTGAACCTACGGCCCTGCAATTCCGGTGCAGCGCTCTATCCAACTGAGCTACAGAGGCCAGCTGTTGAGCTGTAACTGTAAGTTCATGTATATATAGGTAATCGGGTGTGCGGGTTGTGACAAGGTGGGCTTCACCTTTTGTCTAGACTTGTCTAGATCAAAGTTTCACACATACAGTAAAGGGAAAGGTCTATTAACTATGGAGCATGAGAGATGTGAAAACTCTCTTGCAAACTCTCGCTTAATCCCCAACTCTGGCAGTGCTTCAGATGAGGGGTTACTCTGGTCTGGTTGAAAATTTGAAAAGGTATACACAAACAACCTACCTCCAAAACAATTGATTGGAAGTCTTCCAAGGCATCTATTGGAAAAAATTAAAATGAACTTAAAAAATATACTATTATTGAGTTTAATTAACATATATACTCAGGCGATCAGGCAACTGACAGGTCTAGCGTCCAAGGGAAGTGTTGATATAAAATTGGATATTTGTTATTCCGTTTCTCCAGAGTCATGCCCAGCACCTAAACTGCCAACGGGCATACTCTGTATGTGCAGACCTATTGAGTTCACAGGTGCAGACCCACTACTCTTCCCCTGCAGTGCCTGCATGCGGGCTATGGCAGATGTGAAAACTCTCTTGCAAATTCTCGCTTCCCAACTCTCGCATCCTCGTTCGACATTCAACTTAGATGTTTATGGCGTTGAATATGTTCGGCTAAACATTCAACTTAGATGTTTATGCCGTTGAATAAGTTCCGCATAAACATTCAAGTTGGATGTTTATGTTGTTGAATATGTTCGGCATAAACATTCAACTTAGATGTTTATGCCGTTGAATATGTTCGGCATAAACATTCAGCTTAGATGTTTGTGGCGTTGAATATGTTCGGCATAAACATTCAACTTTGATGCTTGTGATGTTACTCTGAGTGTATATCCACACTGGGCAGGCTTGAAAAATATGCCCGGCCACGGTGGAAATCGAACCCGCTACGACCTTTGGAATACTAGCCCAATGCCCTGCCAACTGAGGCACACGGTCAGGTCAGGTCTGTTCGAGTATGTAATATTTCGAAACTGAGTCTAGTTTCCTCGATATCAGCGTAATCTAACAATCATGATATCATAATTGTTCGGCAATCAAAATCTAAGTTAGTCCTTTCTGAATGCAATGATTTTTATTTCATTGCGGTAGCTTTTACGTTACATGAAATCAAACAGTGTGCATGGGACGCGAATATAGTTCGATCATCATGTCAATTTTGATTTGTCTGTTCACCAAGTTTATGTACAGACAATTTATCACACAAACTATCTAAGTCTATTCTTTGTGCAAGTTCTTCCACAAGGATCATGCTTCTCTGATATAAATATGTTCAACATTATAATATCATTTTTACAGTACAGTACCTCTAGTAGCAGTCTCTGGAGCTCCAAACTCACGACCTCGCCACGTTTTGCCACTCCAGCCTCGCCTAGACAAATCTTGCCCATACATTCGCTCTCCTTTTTTGAAAGCTTTCTTCCACGCAGGTATTTCTTTACTGTGTTGTCTTTCAACAGAAAACTGTGAGGAAGGAGCCTGTCCTTTCCTTGGTCGTGTTACAGCAACTTCTGACATTTGTGGTTTGAGCAAATAATTGTCTTTATGTTTATTTTTCTTTTTGCTTTTTTGCGGTATGACTTGCACTGGTGTGTTGAGACCAGGCCATGTCTTGCCAAATTTACCTACAGTGCCATAAATATAGACGTAAGTACTGTACATTTCCCATTATAAACTAATTTCAAAACTATAGGCAAGGAGATGCAAATAAATCAGGCACCACAGCTAGAAAGAACATACCAAAATTAGTAAAACTGCAAAGTTTGGTCGCGAAATGTTGTAAAACGCCGGAAAATATAGCATTGTAAAATTTGCTAATTTTGTATTGTGTGTGGAAATTGCTACCATTTTCGGCCCAAATGTGGTAGTAATTTTCGCACGCAATACAAAATTTGCGAACTTTGCAATGCCATATTTTCCGCATTTTACAACATTTCCCAACCAAACTTTGCAATTTCATTCATTTCAGTATGCTCTTTCCAGAAATATATTTTTTTGCCAAGATAAAAAATTAGTCTATAATGTGAATTGTCCATTGATGAAAGTCATTCTCCATAATGTAAGTCACTTTGGCTCTACCGCTATAGAGCCTTGTATTCGTGTATATGTGACATTAGTTAAAGGGTAACATGAAAACGAGGTAACAGGATCTTAAATCATTACCAAATCCAGTGGGAACAGCTTCTTTGTCCTTGGGCTTAGTCCTCTTCTTTCCTCTTCCTGTACCACGACCACCGGTAACAGCTCCCCAAAGTTTCTCATAATCACCTGCATGTAACATGGTGCAAGTGTTAGTATTAACCTATTAATTTAAGAGCCTGTGCCGCCCACCCATCAACAGTTGCTTGACTACTAAAAACTATTGCTTGACTATACCGGTACTGTATTTGAATTTTAATTGTTGTTCACAATTTGCTTATCATTTTATTACTCAAATTATGAATCTCATTTGTCTCTGACATTTTTTTTGCTTGATCATGAAATATAGCAACCCTGCCCCCTGTACCCCAGAGACACTAAAACATTTCCCTAAATAATCTTGGGCACAACTCAGACCAATCTGTAGTTTGGTCTGTCCAGACTGCTAACTTTGCTGTGCGCACAGAAGATATTCAGTGCGCATTTTTCGAGATGAAGATGAAGTGTGCACATTATGTGAGCACTTTGCACAGAATTTTGACAAAATGTACTTTCAAAACTACTCATAAGTTTGATACTTTAGTGATGTCACTGATGTGCGAATTTCCTCACTTATCACCTGAGTGCGCATTCTGTCCCTCCTGTAAATATAAGTGCACATTTTTTGGCAACAAAATCATATAATTTCGGTGCGCAATAAGCAAAGTTAGCAGTCTCAAGTCTGGTACGTGGTCTGTCAGGTCTGAAGATAAACAGAGAAATATACTAACCTGTCACACCTGAAAGTTGTCTGAATTTAACAATATTGGATGACAACAAATCCATAGAACTGAGACAGCAAATGGTTCCTAGATCAAAAATATTTATATTGCACATTGTCTGTACAAAATATTTCGTACATATCAATTTACGGTACATATAAATAACATATTTTGTACACCGACAGACGGGTTGCATAAAATATTATATATACAAAATACCGTTTCTTCCTGCACAAGAGATATTTCGTAAACAGCTACCGAGGACATATTTTGATATACGCCAAGCCATGAATAACTACAGAAAGTCCCTTAAACATTCAAAACATTAGAATTTATTTCATTTTTGCTTCTTTTCTGTCCACCATGTTGGAACTGAGCCCACTGACATTCTGCTGATTTTCCAGATACCTCACGTAAACTGTTACAAAGACGTTTGGTGGCAGCACAGAGGTGGCAGCAGGTAATTATGAGGAAATTTTTCAAGCAATTTTTTCAGCTCACAATAGCGTCATCTAAGGGCTATTGTTATGGCCAGGTTAACCAGATGATTCGTTTAATAAAGCTCTTATCACGGATTTGAAACATCCAAAATGGCATTCCAAAGTTGAATTAATTCCAGTATTACAATATCGACAGTATCAAGTTCATTCAAACGGTCTTTTATGGTCATATCAGCAAAAAATTCTGGCTTGGAGGCTCATATATGTACAGCCCCAGGCTCTAACGTGTACTTTCTTAGAAATTGAATGTTCATATTTACAGTTAAAGTTTTATGATTGAATCTCATACAACTTTTATTAATAAATAATAAATTGTGACATTTTTCAATAGATATATATTTAGTATTCATAGCTATACTCATCTCAAAACCCCCGCACTCCCCCCCCCC